AATTTCATCTGCTTCCGACCACCTCTCCATTTTTTTTTCGCCGTCGTTTGCAGGCCAGGCCGATTCCTCACTGCATCTATTTCCTCTATTACATTCTCTTTATCCATTTCATCTCCCCAGATAAGTGAATTGCGAACTCTCAGTCTACTCGAAAACCCTACCTTTTCCGCTTCGCATCCGTTTCGTTTTATCTCGAAAGTTACTTGATCGGGCTTCTATTCGTAAACACAGAAAGTATACTGGTATGTTAGTTCTTGATATTATGACTTACATTGCTAATTTCTCATTTTTTGTTGTTAAATATGGGTTTTTGTTGATACTAATTGGGTCAATGACTATGAGCTTAGTTTCACGGAAAGCTACAAACCTGATTAAGAATACAAAAAGTTACTCTTCTAAAGTCAGAATTGATCTGTATTTTGGAAATTTAGAGTAATTGCAACGCTGTTTTACGAATAGAATAATTTTGGCGGTTAAATTTTAATAATTTTCTTTGTAGTTTTGTATTTACAGTACTAAACACTAAAATTGACGCGTATCGTTAAATTGCAGCTCTTCTTCATTTCTTTTTCGTATTGTCATATTTTTTGATTTCTCTTTTATTTCCCTCTGTGAATTTGCTTCTTAACCTTTATGTGATCATGTCTATTTTTTTTTTTAAATAATGTTTTCTTATATGCTGCTGGAGTCGTTTAGGATTCTTTATGTTTAGATTTGTTTGGTGATTGTACTCTATACTCACTCTGTTGAGCTAATCTTTCTTCATAGACCAACAATCTTAATTAAATCCCATTTATAACATGTTTGTGTTAAACATTGAGAATCAGAAAGTCAGCCTACATTGTATCAGGAACTGACCTTCTAGTTTGTTGATTGCATCACAACAAACAGAGATTGAAGATGAAGATTGCTTGATCTTGGAACTTTGCTCTTAATTGAGAATTCTTGGCAAAAGCTTGCTGGAAATATGAATCTTCTATGAGTTTCCCAAAGTTATGCTGAGTTGGTGTCAATATAAGATAAACAATGGATGAATCAAGTGGCATTTATACAAGCATCACATAGCCATCTGTTTTCAACCAATTGTCAAATTTTGTTGAAACTTCTGAAGGAACAGGTATGCTTGGGTTTATCTGTTTTTGTATTCCTTAGTTTTCGCAACAATGATCATTTGATGCTTCCAACACAAATAATTTTCTCCATTCTGTCTAATGGATACAAAGTTTGTGATGTTTGACATTTAAAAATTGATTTGTACCTTGTATTGAATCAACAGTCTGATCCTTGCATCTGGATATTCTGTACAGATCGAATAAACTTGAGTAAACTGTTGTTGCTGAACTGGAACACAAGTTTGCTGATGTAAACCAATACTATCTCCAAACTGGAACTGGATCTTGACCTGATTCTGGAAATCGATTTGTTGATTAAGGAATCACAGGTATTAATCGATCCCTTCAATATTACATATTTGATTTGTATGGAATAGGTAATCCAGGAACTCTAAAGCGCTGATATCATGAAAGCGATCCAAATTGAAAGAATGAAAAGCTAATAGAACTGAAATAGAGAGAAATTTGTGTTTATGATTTTTGGAATAAAAAAAAATACACCAACCACTGAAGTATTTATGCTGCTATAAAGTTCCCTTACTGTTGAGAGAAAAACTTGAGAAACATACTTGAACAAACCTTAGAACAAGTTTATATTGCGGAAATTAAAGTTAATCTCAAAGGATCATAAAGCTCAACAATAATATAAGTTAGAGTTAGATAGTTAGGTGATTAGTTGCGGAAATATAAGGAAATATAAAAGACAGCAAGTATTATATCAAGTATACACTTAAGTTGATTCTTAACGAGGAATGCAATCAGACCAACTTAGTAAGTGAGATCAAACTTAGTGATTAAGTTGAGATTGACTTGCTCCGAAGAGATAACGATATTAGAATCAGAATATCTTTTAAGGTGAGATAGTAAGATGGAGATTTGAGATTCAAGATGCGTAGAGAGATTGTGTATTTAATCAGAAAGAGAGAACTCTATTTATAGAGTCTCGAAGATTACAAAAGTCCTATCTATTAAGAGTTGCCACGCAGGGCACATTGGATAAAAGAAAGTACTTAAAGAAAAACAGATAAAAGACTAAGACTAAGTGCTGATGACTAAGATGACTGCGGTTGCGGTGCTTGACTGCTGATGAGAGAGTGGTTGCGGATAAGATAATGGCTGCGGTTTGGATCAAGTTTAAGAGGGTCACTTCTATGTTTCAACACTTACCAACTTGACTAACTAACTTTAACTTGCATGTGGATGCCACGGATGGTTTATTTTGTTTGGTTGGGTTCTTATTTTTATTTTTGTGGGATATTTTGGTGTACTTGTGAAGATTTTTTTAATTCATTATGTTTATGATAAAACGATACATTTTTTTGTATTTTTTCTTTTTTGTAATTTTTGAAGGAGCTAATACTCTTCCTAATACCTGAATGAATGCCTTTTGCAGTAATCAAATAGTGTGGATGAACATTCATAAGTTACTTCGTGGCAATGTTCCTTTGGAAGTGGATACTATTGCTTTAAAACTTGAGCCAAGTTTTCATGGGACATCAAGTCAAGTAAAACATCCCCAGGCCCAGCCCATTACTGGTGTGGGCCGGGATAGAAGGTCCAATAGTCATTGTCTAAGACAAGGGTCAGAAGAGAATTGGAGCTCTAGTGGGACAAGTGTCTTGGATCAAGAACAGTCAGCAGTTGATGATGCAAACCTTTGTTCCACATCATCAATTTGTGCAGCACCTATATGTCGCCAATTTTGGAAAGCTGGAGTCTACAATGATCATATTACTGCTAAGTTTGCAACTCAATGTATACTGCAGCCTTATGTTGTAACATATGCTTTTCTTTATTTACTACATTCTAATGACATGTTTATGTGATTCACAGCTGGTTCGAGTTATCTACATATACACCCAAGATTTCTTCACTCAAATGCTACTTCTCATAAATGGGTTTTTGGTGGTAAGTTGAGCTTCAAGCCTTCAACCCATCTATGTAAATTGTAGTGCCATATGTAGTCACAACTTCAACACATGTTTAATGGAAACTGTTTATGCAGCTGTTGCAGAGCTAATTGACAATGCTGTTGATGAGGTAATGTGACTATTACTGATTTCATGCTTTTGTATTTGAGAATATATTTCCTTTTCTGTGGCTACTATTATGTTTGCTACTTCTTTAAGTGGCATATGGAGTACCTTGAAAATCTTATATCCAGATCAGTTGAATCATATGTTCCTTAATCGCCGCCTATTATTTTTGTTTGCTTTTGTCCTGCATAAACGGGCCATATGTGTTCCAGTGATTCATTTTGTGACTTATGTTGTGTCTATTTACTCTATGCTTCTTCATATCACTATGTAGTAATGTGCAGATACAAAATGGAGCCACCTATGTACTTATAGATAAAACCTTAAATCCAAGAAATGGAAGTTCAGCACTATTAATTCAAGGTAGCATAGCCATATCTTCTACTCCATGGACAATTATCAATTCTTACTGTTTGGAAGATTCCTTTTTATTCATGAATATCATAGATAGAATGTTGTGACATGAGCTTGTTTATTCAAACTAGATGATGGGAATGGGATGGATCCAGAAGCAATGCGCCGATGTCTAAGTTTTGGATTTTCAGATAAGAAGTCAATATCATCGATTGGAAAGTGTATGTTCATGGACTTCTAGATGTATAACATTTTTTTTCTTATTTGGCCATGTTTATTTGAGTAGTTGATAAGGCTATAGAGGCTTACCTCCCAACTTGTGGAACCAAGTAGCCTTAGTCCATTGGGATCACCTTTTTTATGCTTTTGTTTGCTTGCTTTTGTCATTTTGATTGATTGATTTATAGATGTTCAGATGGAAATGGCTTCAAGACCAGTTCTATGAGGCTTGGAGCTGATGTAATAGTTTTCAGCCGAAACACGACCAACAGGTGATAATCTGCTCTTATTATTTCATGTCATCAACATCAACGAGTATTTAAATATTTTGCTGTTTTGCACAACACAAGCAAATTTCCATAGAACCCCCTGAACTACTTGGCTACTTGCATTCTCAACCCAAGCCACCATTTCTCTCACAATTTAAGTCCATGCTCACAATAGCAACAAGCGTCTATGCTCTAACTCAAACATGATACACTCCAATTGAATAAAGTTCTCGCCACAAACCATTACACCCAATTTGCACAAAAACTACAAGTGTTACAATAAAGTTTAATGGGTGCATTTTAAGTGGTTTGTGGGCTGTGAAACTCGTATTTGTATCGGGTTTTAGTGTGTTTTACTTCAGCTTCATCGGTAAATTTCAAAAGATTTAATGCAAGTTTGCAGCCAATGACTTCTTGTATGCTCTCAATAACAAAACTATTTTGCTCATTTCTTCTCGGCTTTCTTATCTTTATTGTTTTTGATTCTCCCCAAGTACTTTTAAGATGTTTGAATATTCCTTTGGCATCTAAATCTGGCACTTGTTGTGATTGGAAGTAGTCTTGATGAATTCTCAGTTACTTAGATTGCCTCATTTTTTTTACATAATCGTCTCATTGTTCTTACAAGCAGTAAAATGACCCAGAGCATTGGCCTTTTATCATACACATTTTTGACTCGGGAGGGCTATGACAAAATAGTAGTTCCAATGGTAAGCAATTATTCACATTTTCTTATGTTTGATCTCTTGTTAAGAGTTATTTCATTCTAAATTCAGAAATGCATCTACTTAGACTAGATTGTATTCAATTTTATAATTACAAAGCTTATGATTGAGTTTAAGAAATGCCCTCTTGGAATCTACAGGTCCACTATGACTTCAACTTCATTACAGGCTCTTTTAATTCCCTGCAATCAAAAAGCAATGAGAACTCTAATCTTAATCTCTCAATGCTGCTGCGATGGTCTCCATATTCAACAGAAGAGGAACTGCTGCAACAAGTGAGTCTGGTCCTACCCATTATTGAATCCTGTTGTGTCCTGTGTAACAAACACAGGTTTAGCATATGAGTATATCTATAACAGTTTTTATGATGTGTAGTTTGAAAATGTTGGTTCTCATGGCACCAAGGTCATTGTATACAATCTGTGGCTTGATGAAGACAAGAATTTGGAGCTTGACTTTGAGTCAGATCCTGAGGTTTTGATTGCTTCCTCCTTTTTACTGCATATATAGAATTATAGATACATGTACTTTGTGTAAATAAAATTGGTAAACAACAGGTCAAAACATTTTGAGAATTTTTTAAAGAACCCAACAATATGAATGTGAAAAACATACATGGCACATTTATTTTATTCAATTTCAAAATCTGTCGCCCTTAAATAAAGAAAACAGTATGAAAAACAAAATCTTTGATACACTTATTCACCCACATGGATTAGAGGTTATTACACCATTAAGCAATAGAAATGATATTGCCACTTAGAATCTTATATTATTTTCATATATTTTTCATATATCTTTGATACAACCATGAGTTGATTTTGCATGACACAATTTCTTTCAGGATATTCGTATTACTCGGGATGCACATGGGAAAATAAAAGATGGTTCTCGTCAAGCAGCAAGTGAACAACATATTGCCAACCGACTTCGTTATTCTCTCCGGGTAACTTACATGCTGCAATTAGATTTTTCATTTGTATTATCTTTTTCTTTTATATCAATATCATTCTAAAATGGCTATATGTTACTTATATGGTTTCAGGCATACTTATCCATCCTGTACTTAAAATTACCAGAAACTTTTGCAATAGTGTTACGTGGGAAAGTCGTCCTTTATCATAACGTCTCTAGAGACTTGAAGTACACAGAATTTATTATCTACAAACCTCAAAGCACAACTGTTGAGGTTGAATTAAGTTAATCGATACTCTTGTATTGTTCTTTTTTTAGAGAAACAAATTTTGAGGTCTGAAACAAACACGCTGACCTGATATTTTTAATTTGATCAATGCAGGTTATTACAACAATAGGATTTATCAAAGAGGCTCCACTTGTTAATATTCATGGATTTAATGTGTACCACAAAAATCGTCTGATATTGGTGATCATTGCCTCCTTTATATTAAATTATAAAATACTATTGTTTACTTTAGGGATAAATTCAACTTTTATATAACTAACATTTTTATGATTAGTGACATGTAATTGACATTTCTTATGCTCTTTTTTTCAGCCATTTTGCCCTGTTGTTAGCTTTGGTGCAAACAGAGGGAGGGGCGTAGTCGGTAAGAATCTGGATGCCTTTCGGTTGTTTCCAAGGAAAATTAGTAGGTGTCTAATAAAGTCAGCGCCTTCTTTTGCAGGTGTTCTTGAAGCAAATTTTATAGAGCCCACTCACGATAAACAGGATTTTGAGAAAACATCTCTTTTCCAAAAACTTGTTCAACGCTTGAAAGAAATGACATGGGAGTACTGGTAAGCAATTACTTTTAAGGTTAAATGCAAGAAATAACAACATATTTTTTGTTGGGAAATGGTCTCAAAGATTCCCAACAATCCTCCCGGTGGAAAAAAAAAAATAGAGAAAACTAAACACAAGAATATACATGGAAAACTCCAAAACCGAAAAAAAAAAAAAAAAAACCACGGGCCTCCAATAACAATCACACAGACAAAATCTCTCAAGCCAATCCCTCAATTATTCCCACACTCACCAAAGATTTAACTCACATTTCTTTTACACTCTAAAAGAAGAAAAGAATCAAACACTTGAAGTGTATTTGGTTGGGGCATTTTGACACCAAAGCTCTGAACTCCTTTTATAGGCATTAAGCTTATCAGTTTTTTTACACTCTACCAATGTGGGACATAAAATTTTCTTTGATATTAACCAACATATCCCAACACTTATATTTATTTGTTTATTATATCAACCTATTTTCATTTATTCCTATTACAACATTGTACTTTAAAAAGTCTACCTAATTATAGCAATGTCATCAAAATACAAAGCAATTTGCACAGTTATAATAAAGTACAATGTTGTAATAGAAAAAGTTTGAAAATACAATGCTATACTTGGGCAGATTTTTCAAAGTACAATGCTATAATAAAACGGAATGAAAGTAATTGATATAATAAACAAATAAATGCTATATCTTGCATTTATCCTTTCGTCAGAATATGCCAAAGATAACATAATTCCTCCAAAAGTTTCTTGACATATTATGTTTCTCCATTGGTGCAGGGATTACCATTGTGGACTGATTGGGTACCAGTTCACAAAAAAATACAAGCCTTCATTGTCCACATCAGCTGCCCCTATTTTTGTTCATCACCATGGTACAGAACAACCTATTCCTATGAGGAATCGTTCCTCTATTGTTGGTGTGCCTAAAAATAGACCAATGGCAAATGCCATTGCTATGTATAATAATAGCAAGCTCACTCTTGAATCCAATTCCCTACCCAAACCAGTAGAACCAAGCTTCCCTAGAGGTTTCCAACAAGGTACAATATGTGAAAAATGAATAAAACAAACATTCATTTATTTGTTGAATATAGCATCTTCCTCTCATTTATTCATATTATAGAATTGTACTTTGAAAATTCTACCCGATTATAATAGTTTCATCAAACTACACACTGCTGTAATCTGGTAGATTTTTCAATGTACAATGTCATCAAAATACAAAAATATTCCAGCCTTCATCATCCACCTCAGCTGCCTCATGTTTTATTACAGAACAACATATTCCTATGATGAAAAGCCCTTCTGCTGCTGGCAACAGGCCAATGATGACTGCAGTTTATAGCAAGGTCACTCTTGGCTCAAATTCCTTGTCAAAACCAGCAGAACCAAGCTTCCCTAGAGGTTTCCAACAAGGTAATGAATAAAATAAAGTTGGGTTCCCCATTAAATACAAGAAATAGCAATTTATTATTTTATTATAGCATCTTACTTTTTTTTTATTCCTTATAAAGCCTTGTCCTTTGAGAAATCTATCCAATTATAACACTATCATCCAACTACAAATCAATTTTCACTGCTATAATTGGTTATATTTTTCAAAGTACAATGTCATTTAAATACAAAAAGTTTCGGCCTTCAATCTCTACTTGTAATTTTATTTACCACCGTTATACAGAACAACCTATTCCTATGAGCAAAAGCTCCCCTGTTGTTGTTGGTACGATTAGAAATAGGCCAATGGTGACTACAGTACATAGCAAGGTCGCTCTTGAATCAAATTCATTGCCAAGACCAATAGAAACAAGCTTACCTACAGGTTTCCAACAAGGTACATATGATATGTGAAAAATAAATTCAATAGGGCGGGGTTAAATGTGTAAGAGATAGCAATGTACTTTCATTTATTTGTTTATTATAGCATTGTACTTTGAGAGATCTACCTTTTTTTTTATAAGAATGTCATTCAAATACTAAGCAATACTCTCTACTATTATTTGGTAGATTTATAAAACTATAATGTCCTAATAAGAAATAAATTGAAAGTACAATGTTGTAATAGAAAGAAATGAAAGTAGGATGCTGTAACTATTTCTTGCATTTAGTCCAATAAAGTATGATCAACTTTTGAAGCTATTATAAAATCAACTGTTTATGATTTTTCTCTCTTTATTATCTTTATTTATTTTGCCTTGTTCCTCTTTTTAAAAAGGGTCAAACTTGAAGAGGAAATCATGTGATCAACCTACAATGTTCAAATCAGAGGCTCAGATTGTGGCTGATTCTAACAAAAGATCTAATATGGTAATTATACACCTTTCTGTTAAACAATTGGTTCGATATGTGAAAATAAATATAAGCACTATGAAGCTTGAATGTTTGGTAGAGGGTTTATTTATCATATTGCAATTTTTTTGTAGCCTGGTTTGGCCAACCCCCAAGAGCCAATAAATGTGAGAGAACAGAACCGTAAACTTCGAGCCCGGTCAGTATTCCTTACTTTCTTTTTTTCTTTGACACACTTTTGTAAAAATGCAACTTCATTACCATATCCATATTCATCCCGACTTATTTTCACTTCTTAAGCCTCTCTTTGTGTGTGTGTGTGTGTGTGTTGTGCAACTCCTTGATGCAAATTTTTTTTATCATTTACAACATTCACTTACTTTATAGGTATTAATTAACACAGACTGTTTTTTTAATAGTTTATCTGTTCTTTGTTTCAGATGCTCAGAATATGAGAAGACCCAAGAACAACTTAAGCTCAAGGTATTTTTAGCTCTCTTTTATTTATGCCTTTTATAGGACTTGACAAGCTTTCTAGGGCTATTTTCCATGATATTCAATCTCCCCCGATCTCTTCTTATGATAAACACCATATATATATATATTATATATATATATATATATATATATATATATATATATATATATATATAAGACCTGGCCCTCACTATTTATGGATATACATTGAATAAATAATATTTTATATGACAAACAAACATTCCTTTATCTAAGGGATTAATATCTCTGGATTAATATCTCGTCTGATAAGGGGCTATTCACGTCTTTTTGGGTGGGACAAAAAAATTGCAATTTTTATCGTATTGACATCAGTCACCAGTCAAAAATCCTTTCAGGGTGTTATTGTTTGTTGTTTGATTTTGTGTTCCATCATCAGGTGAAACAGCTTAAAGTGGAATTAGAAGAGGCCCAAAAGGAGTATGTCCGTGTATTGGATGAGATGCTATGCCTGTAGTAAGTCAAGGGGAAATATGTTTTTGATGTGTAAATGAAGTTTGTAAAGGTAACACGTCTATTTTCTTTCATTTAGGCCACACTTGTTTTGGATTGGAATTGGAATCCGAAATCCATGGAAATCAATTCCGTTGGAAGGTGAAAATTCCCTGATTTGACCATTCCTTTTGGAAATCAATTGCAAAACACCAAAATAACCCTCATTGTATATTAGATATATAGATAGATAGAAAATTATTATTATTATTTCAGTCTCCAAATAAAACAAGCAAATATTTTTCATTCCAATGGAACGAACCATTCCATTTATTTTTTGATTTCATCATTATACATCTTCATTTAATTCTAGTTCCTTTAAATTTTAATTTCTTTTGTAGATATAATTTCTTTTAGAAATATTGTGCTAACCAAATGCCCACTTAGCAACAAGCCTCGAGCCAAAAGCCTAAATATTGATTAAAGATAAGCTCCATGATCAATAACAAATACTACTAAGATATCTAGAGATTTTAGTGCACTTAATAAGAGTATACATGAGCAACTTGTGAATGATGATTACCTTTTTTAGTCTGTTGGTTAAGAACCGGCTGCAGGATGTTTTCTTGAGGGGAATATTAGAAAAAAAAAAGGGCAGTTCAGTAAACAATCGGACTATGTAGTTATTTTCTTAAATAGAATTCAATTCTATTGTGTTCGAGTATCATGATTTTGATAGTGGATAATTTAAACAAGATGACAACCTCTCGTTTATGCGTTTAGATATGTGTAAAGTTCATTTTCCAAATCAAAGAGCCCAAAATAACTTGTAGTTTTATATCGGCAATTACAAATAGAAAAGGCAATTGAAAACGGTTTTGAGCAATTGTCTAGATGTCAAGCTGATTGATAACTCTAGCTGATATGTTAAGCTAGTTGGAAGGGGGTCTATCCTTTCCTATATGAGATGGGCATGACCCTGCAAGGGAATGTGACCCCGTTGGCACCATCATTTGTCATATTCAGGATGAAATGATACGAACCAGAAATAGAATGCAAAGAAAAACCAGAAATGGTTCATGTAATTCAAAAAGCAAGAGTCCAAAATTCTAGACTCAAAAGGGTTTTTTTTTTCCATGATCAATAAAATGATCCCGAAGTCCTATAAATAGTGTTTAACAACTAATCCTACTACAAAATAAAAGGATAACTGCTAATAAAAGACAACTACTAATTTAAATAAAGGTGACCTTGATACACGATAAAAAGATAATTACTAATTAGTCGATAAACTTGACCAAATCGACGAGTTGTATCATTACTCAATCACCTTGTCCTCAAGGTGGGAATCCAAGTTATGCAGTTGAGCTCTTTGGCATCTCTAGCTCCATAAGTTTATGTCTCACAATTATCTTATGCCAACAAACTTGGAGCATTGACGCCCGAGCGTGAATCTTTTATCTTATTGGAAACACAACCCTTTTGCCCTCTTGTCTTGCAATTCTATCTTCGTTAACCTTCGAACTTAGTCCCCAACTTGGCCACCAGAAGTAACACATGTATCTATCAACCATTGTTATGATCGTGGAAGGCCTTTGCTCACCTGATTTTTCATCTAACATGATTGTTATCCTCATAATGTGCGTTAACTTTTTGGTGATCGATAATCCAAGCTCCGATTTCAAACCCTTAATAAACGTTTCCTCTAAAATTTGTTCCACTAACTCTCCAATTATCCTGCCACCAAAACTTTTGACATAATCACGAGCGGTTACCCTATTAACAAATTGCTAGAACTGTCCGTACAAGCTCGCTTTGTATAAGTGTTGGAATCGCCACTTTAACTCTTTCCACCTGTGAAATGGAGACGTGCATGTGCTCCATCGATACCATAACAACGTTACCCCTTCCATACATAAACTTGCTGCCTTAAAGTTGTTCTATCTCTTCAAGTCCTCGATGCCTTGAATTTCAAAAAAATTGTTCGATGTGATAGATCCACCCATATGCATTGTCCTCTTCAAATATCCATCTTTATTTCTTGTACTTCGTCCTTTTAAACACGTTCCTGTTTTTTGTCTTGTCTTAACCGATCATGTGCTCACGCTGCAATCTTCTTGTCTTTCTTTCCAGCAAAATCATTACCACGGGGGTCAAGGGAAAAACCCAAATAATCAGAGTGCGGATCTTGGGCAACATGTTGCTTATGAACCTCCTTGGTGGCCAAGCTTCCCATATTTTCAGATTAAACGTTTATAACTTGGAGAATATCTTGGATTTGTTGACTGCTCTCCTTGTGCTTTTTCCTTGAATCCTGAAACATCTTGAAACTTGGTGAAGCTGGCTTCCAAATTTTTAATCCTTTTGTTTTCCACGATGAGGAAAAAAGGTGAACAACATTGTCGACATAATCGTTGCTTTGATACTAATATGATACGAACCAGAAAGATAATTAATACACAAAAAAACATAAACATGGGTCCCCCAAAGTCTTAAGACTTAAAAAGTTTAGGGATAATGGCTTGTAAATGTAATCAACTTTAGGTTTTGTATATATTTAGCCACTAAACTTATAATTATGTTTGATCAACCATTCAACTTTTTCGGATTGTTAAAAAAACCATTATGACTAGCTATTATAGGTTTCTCCGTGTAAATTAAGCCACTAAACTTTTTTTTATACATTTAGTCACTATTTTTTTATATATATATTTAGTCACTCATCTTTTTTTTCCCTACACATTTTACCATTAAACTTACAAAATGTACTCAAAGAAGACAATTTAAATAAATAAATATTTTACAAATAAATATGTATCTTTTTAGTATAAATACATATTATAATGTATAATATGCATTTTTACATTTAAAAACCATATCTTAAGTTATACATACATATTATTTACTTAAACCGTATATGTATATAATTTAAACATGATAAACACCTCTTGTTTAGGCTTTTTAGATTTGTGTTTAAAGTTTGTTTTTCGAATCAAAATGCACAAAATTACTTGTGGTTTTATATCAACAATTACATTACAAATAGAAAAGGGAACACGAAAGGCGGTTGAAAATGATTTTGAGCAATTGTCTAGATGTCAAGCTGATTGACAGCTCTAGCCGATATGTTAAGCGAGTGGCAAGGGACTCTATCCATTCCTATATGAGATGTTGCCCTTTGACCCTGTAAGGGAATACAATCCCCAGGGCACTGCATTTGTAATATTTTGGATGAAATGATACAAACTAGAGAATGCAAAGAAAAACCAGAAACGGTTCATGTAATTCGAGAAATAAAGGCCTCCAAAAGTCTAAGACTCAAAACGGTTTTTTTCCATGAGCAATAAATCGATTATGAAGTCCTATAAATAGTGTTTAACTACTAATCCTACTACAAAATATAAGGATGACCACTAATAATAGATAACTACTAATTTAAATAATGATGGACCCTAAGGTGCTGTTTGTTTTTTCTGAGACAAAATGTCTGCAGTCTGCGGACCATATCTGTAGACCTCTGCAGTAGAAGAGGTGGACCAAACGTCTGCAGTCTGAAAAAAGAAGACTTTGTTTTTTTAACATCTGCGGACTACTAAAATAAACTGAAATCTATATAAACTGATTTTTTAAAACTTCAAAGTGATTTTTTAATATTTTTATGACTTTGTTATAAATAATTAACGAATCTAGATCAACTTTTATGTATTATTGTATAAAAAATAATAATAATAATGGTATGAATTAACGTATATATTTGATAAAAACCAACAACTTTGGTTGCGAAGTTATAACTAAACATTATATAATTAGTGATCAAAGAATTTGATACATAAATGGATGGAAATAAACTTCGATTTTTTCAATTAAATCCATTAAAAACGTACCATAAATATTTTCTCGAGAAATTGACGATACTGTATTAAATAATGTTTTACAAAATTTAGCAAAAAAATATAAGAATATATTATCATTTTTTTTTCATATTTATATAAACAACTTCAACGACTATTATTGTAATAAATATTTATTTATAAATTTGTCAAAAATATCATGTTTGTATCGTCGAACGTTTTTTTTTTTAAGTTTTGTAATTTTTTTTTTCAAATTGTTTATCATTAATAAAGTTGGAAAAAATATAAATTAAAAAAAACTTAAAAAAAATAAAGATATATATGTTTTTTTAGGCTAGAAGATATCTGAAGATGTTAGAAGACTCTGGTCCACATCCACGCAAAGAAGAAGGAGCGCAAACATTTTTAGGTCTGCAGTCTTCAAAAAAACAAACAGTCTGCGAAGGCTAATGTCTGCGCGTGGTCTGCGCGGTGCAGACAGAAGAGGCCACGCAGCTCTGCAGACAAAAAACAAACACTACCTAAATAAACATAAAATAATAATTACTAATTAGTCGATAAACTTGATCAAATCGGTGAGGTCGTATCATTACTCCCATTGAAAATAATGATGGGTTATGAGCATAACATCATTCCTATGGTGTTCATGCAACCCTAATTGCTTTGATCTAGGTTTTTATAATTTGAACATACAACATTGAATACCAAATCAATAAACCCTATGAACTAGCATATAATTCGAAATTGACATATGATTAGGGTTAGAAACATTACCTTGATTGTTATGTAGCAATAACAATCCCAATCCTTCTTGATCCTGACTTCTGAAAGCCTAGTGCCTCAAATGTTGCACCTCTAATGGAGTCACAAACACCACTAGCAACATGGAAGAACAAGAGAGAGAGAGAGAGAGAGGAGAGGCTCAAAATCGGCTGTGGAATCCTTCTAGGGTTTCTAGTGGTCGATTTTGGCATGCCCAAGGGTTCCTTATATAGCTAAGCAATTAGGGTTTCAGTCAAAACCCTAATCCAGTTGCTTAGTCCTTAAGCAGCCCAAAGGATCCTTCCAGAAGGCCCCTTGGACGATTTCTATATGGACTCCCATATAGAATTCGTCCATTGCTTCCTTATGGATCCTAAGCCCAACTTTGTAACTATCTTATAATTACAGTATCAGTCCCCTTGATTTAATTAATCTCTTTTGACCACAAAACTAATTCTTAATTAATTCTTGATCAATATTAATTAAACCATATGATTTCTCTTTTGATATATTATTCACATAATATATTAATAAATCACAATTAATCCTCTTTCTCCATAATTCATCCTATCAGTTGCTAAGGTGAAGGCAACCCAAAAGGACCATGCTCATAATCGGGTCAAGTACATACCAAAATAGTTATGGGCTTAGACACCTAATCCAACAAATAAGCACCTTGTCCTCA